ATCATCACCTAGTTGCTTCGATGCCGGGACCATGGGGTCGACAGTCACGAACTAGAAGATAAGGAATCTAAGCAGCTGTGATCACTTGATAGGGAAGGGGGAATTGACAAAGCAATTGCAAAAGAGAAACCGTTCCTCAGCCTTTGGAGGTAGCTTTTCGCAGCTATGAAAGAAAGGTTTCCCTACAAGGACAATGTTACGAGTCATTCAGCCAACTGGACCACAATAGAGAAAGGCATTCAGTCTCTGTGGGAATCAGCCATTGTAGAGACGATCTATTGTAGGTTGGATGCTGGGAATGTATCTGTAGATCCAGATGAAGCTGAATGTACACGACCCACGTGGCGGAAATTTACACGGAATGCACCATCATCATATGCCTACTCTCTGGCATCAATAACCTGGCATGATGTAGTACCAACAACAGTGGATGAAGTGATGTGTTAACTCTGAGAATTTGAAGACAATCTCATCCCTTCCATCATTTCAGCTGTGGAAAAACTGCCCCAGGAGTTCAAACAATTGAGAGATGATCTATACGATCTATCCAGCTCCCCACATGTAGCAACTCACATCTCAGCTATTAACAAAAGGTATCCTACTCCTCAAGAGAGAAGATACAGGAGGTACATGCCACTGGCCACCCAATGGTTTTACCTGCAGGATCACGGAGAAGACATGAGAAAGTGGGGTGGAAAACCTACCTCAGCTCTGAAGAAATGGGTGTGTGAATTGAAGGGGAGAACAAAGGTCAAGGATGATCATCCCATGAAGGCTTCAGTCTTTGGTGAGCAGGTTCCCAGATGGAGTGAAAGAGCTGATTTTACTCCAGCTCCTGTGATAAAGAAGAATAATCCCTTTATACAAGATGTAAGTGACCATATTGTGATCACTATTAGCGGGGCCCTGCCTCCAGCCAGGTGGAGGCAAAGGATGATCGGATTTACTGGACTGTGTGGATCAGATGGCCTGGCACATCAGTCCCACAGAAGTATAAGGCTCTAGTAGATACCAGAGCACAGTGTACCCTGATGCCATCAAGCTGTCAAGGGGTGGAACCCATTTGTATTTCTAGAGTGACAGAAGGATCCCAAGAGTTGACTCTACTGGAGGCTGAAGTCAGCCTGACTGAGAGGAAGTGGCAAAAGCACCCCATTGTGACTGGGCCAAAGGCTCCATGCGTCCTTGGCATAGACTATCTCAGGAGAGGGTACTTCAAAGACCCAAAAGGGTACCAATGGACTTTTGGTGTTGTTTCTTTGAAAACAGAGGAAATTAAGCAACTGTCCATCTTGCCTGGTCTCTCAAAGGATCCTTCTGTTTTGGGGTTGCTGAAGGTCAAAGAACAATAAGTGCCAATCGCAACCACAATGGCAATATCGCACCGACGGCAATATCGCACGAACTGAGACTCCCTGATTCTCATCCATAAGCTGATCCATAGACTGGAGAGTCAAGGAGTGATCAGCAGGACCCACTCAGCCTTTAATAGCCCCTTATGGCCAGTGCAAAAGTCTAATGGAGAGTAGAGACTAATGGTAGACCATCATGGCCTGAATGAAGTCACACCACCCTTGAGTGCTGCCGTACCGGGTATGCTGGAACTTCAGTATGAACTGGAGTCAAAGGCAGACAAGTGGTATGCCATGATTGATATTGCCAATGCATTTTTCTCAATTCCTTTGGCAGCAGAGTGCAGGCCACACTTTGCTTTCACTTGGAGGGGCATCCAGCACACTTGGAACTGACTGCCCCAGGGGTGGAAACATAGCCCTACCATTTGCCATGGACTGATCCAGACTGCACTGGAACAGGGGCAAGCTCCAGAACACCTGCAATACATTGATGATGTTATTTGTGGGGCGATAGAGCAGAAGAAGTTCTTGAGAAAGGGAGGAAAATAATCCAAATCCTGCTGAAAGCCAGTTTTGCCATAAAACAGAGTAAGGTCAAGGGACCTGCATGGGAGATTCAATTTTGGGGAATAAAATGGCAAGATGGAACTTGCCAGATCCCCACAGATGTGATCAACAAGATAACAGCAATGTCTCCACCAACTAATAAAGAAATACAAGCTTTCTTGGGTGTTGTGGGGTTCTGGAGAATGTACATCCCAAATTACAATTTTATTGTAAGCCCTCTCTATCATGTGACCCAGAAGAAGAATGATTTTAAATGGGGCCCTGAGCAACAAGCCTGTGAGCAAATTAAACGTGAGGTAGTTCATGCAGTGGCCCTTGGACCACTCCAGACCAGGCCAGATGTAAAAAATGTACTGTACACCGCAGCTGGGGAGAATGGTCTTGCCTGGAGCCTCTGGCAGAAAGCTCCAGGGGACACTCAATGGCTCAATGTCCAGCTGGAGACCAGTAATGAGTGGTGTCCCTCAGGGATCGGTGTTGGGACCGGTCTTGTTTAACACCTTCATTGCTGACATGGACACTGGGGTTGAGTGCACCCTCAGCAAGTTTGCTGATGACAACAAGCTGTTTGGTTCAGTTGATACGCTGGAAGGAAGGAATGCCATCCAGAGGGACCTTGACACGCTTGACAGGTGGGCTGATGCCAACCTCATGAAGTTTAACCATGCCAAGTGCAAGGTCCTACACCTGGGTTGGAGCAATCCGAGGCACAGCTACAGGCTGGGCAGAGAAGAGATTCAGAGCAGCCCTGCAGAGAAGGACTTGGGGGTGCTGTTCAATGAGAAAATGAACATGAGCCAGCTTGAGTATGCGCTTGCAGCCCAGAAAGCCAACTGTATCCTGGGGGCCTATAGGGGTGCTGGGGAGGGACAAGGAGTAACAGGTTAAAACTTAAACAGGGGAAGTTTAGATTGGATATAAGGAGGAAGTTCTTTCCTGTTAGGGTGGTGAGGCACTGGAATAGGTTGCCCAGGGAGGTTGTGAATGCTCCATCCCTGGCAGTGTTCAAGGCCAGGTTGAACGAGGCCTTGGGTGATATGGTTTAGTGTGAGGTGTCCCTGCCCATGGCAGGGGGGTTAGACCTTGATGATCTTAAGGTCCTTTCCAAACATAACTATTCTATGATTCTATGATTCTATGACTCAAGGTCGTCTCCTTGGCTTTTGGAGTCGGGATACAAAGGATCTGAGGCCAGCTATACCCCAGCTAAAAAAGAGATGCCAGCAGCCTATGAAGGGGCTCGAGCTGCTTCAGAAGTGATTGGCACTGAAGCACAGTTCCTCCTGTGACCCTGGTTGCCCGTGCTGGGCTGGATGTTCAAAGGCAGGGTCTCCTCTACACATCATGCAACTGATGCTACATGGAGTAAGTGGGTTGCACTAATTACACAATGAGCTCAAATAGGAAATCCCAGTTGTCCAGGAATTCTAGAAGTCACCATGGACTGGCCAGAGGGCAAAGATTTGGAATGTCAACAGAGGAGGAAGTGATGCTTGCTGAAGAGGCCCCACCATATAATAAACTGTCAGAAAGTGAAAAGCAGTATGCCTTGCTTACTGATGGGTCCTGCTGTATTGTGGGAAAGCATAGGAGATGGAAGGCAGCTGTATGGAGTCTCCAACAACAAGCTGCAGAAACTGTTGAAGGAGAGGGTGCATGGAGTCAGTTTGCTGAGGTGAAAGCCATCCAGCTGGCCCTGGACATTGCTGAACAAGAAAAGTGGCCAGTACTTTATCTCTATACTGACTCGTGGATGGTGGCAAATGCCCTGTGGGGGTGGTTGCAGCAATGGAAGCAGAGCAACTGGCAATGCAGAGGTAAACCCATCTGGGCTGCTGCACTGTAGCAAGATATCGCTGCCTGGGTGTAGGACCTGGTGATGAAGGTACACCATGTAGATACTCATGTACCCAAGAGCTGGGCCACTGAGGAACATCAGAACAGCCAACAAGTGGATAAAGCAGCTAAGATTGAAGTGGCTCAGATATTTGATTGGCAACATAAGGGTGAATTATTTTTGGCCCGCTGGGCCCATGACGCTTCAGGCCATCAGGGCAAAGGTGCAACATAGAGATGGGCTCGTGATCGAGGGGTGGACTTAACACTGAACACTATTGGCCATGTTATTCAAGACTGTGAAACGTGTGCTGCAAGAAAGCAAGCCAAGTAGTTAAAGACTCTTTGGTATGGAGGATGATGGCTGAAGTACAAATACGGGGAGGCCTGGCAGATTGATTATATCGCACTCCCACCAACCCTTCAAGGCAAGCGCTATGTGCTTACCATGCTGGAAGCAAACACCGAATGGCTGGAAACATACGTTGTGCCCCACGCCACTGCCCGGAACACTATCCTAGGCCTTGAGAAACAGATTTTGTGGTGACACTGCACCCCAGAGAGAACTGAGTCAGACAATGGGACTCATTTCTGTAACAAACTTATAGCTATTTGGGCCAAAGTGTATGGCATTGAGTGGTATATCGCATCCCCTACCATGCACCAGCCTCTGGGAAAATTGAATGGTACAATGGGCTGTTAAAAACTGCACAGAGAGCAATGGGTGGTGGGACTTGCAAACATTGGGATACATATTTACCAAAAGCCACCTGGTTGGTCAACACCAGAGGCTCTGCCAACAGGGCTGGTCCAGCCCAGCTAGAACTTTTACATGCTGTAGAGGGGGATAAAGTTTCTGTGGTGCACATAAAAAAATTGCTGGGGAAGACAGTCTGGCTTATTCCTGCTTCACGTAAAGGCAAAGCCACTCATGGGATTGCTTTTGCTCAGGGACCTGGATATACTTGGTGGGTAATGTGGGAAGATGAGGAAGTCCAATGTGTACCTCAAGGGGGTGTGATTTTAGGGGAAAACAGCCATTGAACTCAATGGATGCTTTTGCCTGCTATGTAGTACTTTTACAGCCTACCAACTAGATGTCTTCAAGTCGCCAGCGACTTACTCTGACTTCCCTCCAACCATCATCCCACCAAAGAATGAACTTTGATGAAATCAGACGAGCTCAGCAGTGAACAGATGAGTTCCGCAATGTCATCAGCAGGCAGTGTCATCATCCAACACTGCACACAGCCTCTCCTGCTCTGAGAGACTGTTACAAGAGATGGAGCCCAATATCATGGACCAGATGAACTCACCAGCTCTATAGGGATTGGTCCATGCACTAAGGAATGATATCTTCCTTTTTGTGTGTGTGGCGGTATATATATGTGTATGTATACATGAGAAAGAGTGATGGTATGTCAAAAATGTGGGATCTAAACATGACATGAATGGTATGGAATAAGAGGCGGATACTGTCCTGGGTTCAGCAGTAGCAGTCATTTTTCTCCTTCTTAGTAGCTGGTGCAGTGCTGTGGTTTTGACTTTCAGCCTGGGAACAGCACTGATAACACCGATGTTTTTAGTTGCTTCTCAGTGATGTTTACTCTGACCAAGGACTTTCTGAGTCTCATGCTCTGCCAGGGAGGAGGGGAAGCCAGGAGGAAGCAGAGACAGAACACCTGACCCAAACTAGTCAAAGAGGTATTCCGTACCACAGCACATCAGCCCAGTATATAAACTGGGGGGAGTTACCCAGAAGGGCTGGATCACTGCTCGGGTCGGGCTGGGTATCGGTAGGCAGGTGGTGAGCGGTTGTATTCTCTTCCCTTGTTATTTCCCTTATCATTATCGGTGGCATCAGTAGTGGTTTGTGTTATACCTTAGTTACTGGACTGTTCTTATCTCAACCTGTGGGAGTTACGTTCTTTTGATTCTCCCCCCCCTTCCCTCCCGCAGCAGGGGGAGGAAGGAGGGAGGAGAGGGAGCAAACAGCTGAGTGGTTCTGAGTTGCCGGCTGGGCTTAAACCACAACAGAATACAAACTTCTCTGGCAATTTCCCAGAGGAAAAAAAAAAAGGCAAAACACACACATAACCTCCAAAGCAGCCCCTCCCCCCCCAAAAAAAACCACTGCAAAGCAAACAGACAACAAGACCAAAAAGGGACGGGGGGGAGGAGGAGAGAATCTCAAATCTAGAAGACTTCACGATCCCCTCAATAAAGAAACTAAACACAAAAGCAATAACCATATCTCAAAACACAGCAAACACAATGATAATATCATGTTATGCCCCCTACTTAAGAATCTCAGTGAGCTTTTGTTAAGTTTTACTGAATGAACCTTTGTAGGATAGTTATCGAGCAACCAAGTAAGTTCTTTAACTTCACAAATAGAACTACAGAAAATATGAGAGCCACTCAGATCAATATCATTTGCTTAGTTGATTTCAGTGCTCCAAATCAGTCCCTACAAAAACCAGTCAATTTTAGTGGTGCAAAAGAGATAATAACCTACTTGAGTTTTCATCTTTGTCAGCAATGGTCTAATGAAATACAGCAAAACCTCTTGTCTCTTCCTTCAGCTTCATCAGCAGTGTGCTTACCTCACCAGTGAAGTTCTGTGCTATTACCCTGACCTTTATTTAGCCAGCCAAGCTGCTTTGGTTTATACTGGAGTACATTGATCACAAGTATAATGTTCACCACCATCCTGGAAATGGTCTTCTTTAATGATGCCCATGCAGTGAACAAAAACCTTTAGAAAGAGCAGCATTTATCACATTGCATTCTCTAATTACTGTTTTCCCCCTTCAAACATTATATCACATTCAGCTGTGTACTGAGAAAGGCAACACCTGCTACTAACTCTGATGTGCACAAACCAACCAGAATCAATGGTAGTACTGCTTTTGGATAATGTCCTGGTATTAAAACACTTAACAGCTCAGAAAGAACAAAGTGGAGGAATTATTTTGCTGAACTTGTGGATAACTGTCATAGACTGCTTCCCCACAATAAGTCAGTCAGCTTGTAGGCAGAGGGGAAGAATTATAATCTCAAAACTGTTTTCTTGATCTCATTGGAACTTTTAGAGACCAGAGCTAGAGCAGCAGTATGGAGGTAAACATACATCACTAAGAAGCAGAGCTGCGCCATTGACAGAATTGTGCACCTCTGTATCTGGCTGCTCACAGGGGTTGTGTAAGTCTGTGTCTTTTTCCTGAGAGAGTGCCATTTGTAGCAGCTACAAGCTGCATTTGTATCCCACAGTGCTTTCTCTCCTAACTGGTTGTGGATGGTCTCAGGTTTTTTGCTCCTTAAAACATCTTACGTGTTAGTACAGAGCTCATCTGTTAGCATCCTTCATGGTACTTTCTTCTTATTATTTCTGGTTCTTATTACTTGAGCCTGTTATCCTCGTTTTCTCAAGGAGGGACGAGGATTGCTACAGATGCACCTGCTCAGAAATCACAGTGAGGCAGTTGCAACTGGATCTGCCATATGGGAATTAATCTCTTAAACCGCAGAAAAACACATGAAAATGAAAGCCTCTGAAGGACCAGGTCAGCCTAAGCTCCTTGAGAGCATTTTGTATCTATCTTTTGTCCATTTACAAAGATAGCAATGGGTAGCAAAGGAATAACATACAAGTGAATATCAGATTCTTCGGCTTCTTTTTCCAGACTTTCAAAGAAAGCAACAGAGAAACCAGATCTGCAGCAGCATGGATGCGTCTCCTTCACCTCACTCATGCTACTCACTGTGGGAGGTGGTACAGATCAAACCCACATAAATGGCACAGCTTGTCCTGAGGAGTAAGGTTGAGCTAGGGACAGAGGGATGCTGGGGATAGTTTTCCATTTGGCCACTTCTCCTTGACATCAGTATTAAATGGGTGTGAATGAGCATAGCCAGAGCTGAGGGGGAACATTTCACACACCCTCTGTGCAGGTGTAAATAAAAATGCAAAGTACACAGACAGGAATATGGTCCCTTACATGCACTCCTGCTAAAGCTGTAATAGGAAGTGTCTGAGTACTGTATATCTAGCACAGAGACAAGAGAAAATATTCCTTTTGTGAAAGTCTGTTTTGATGCACTTCAAGCTAAATACTGTCACTCTTTCCAACAGGAGTATACTTGCTGTATTAATGAGAGTGATGTGAATAGGATTTGGCCTCTAGTCTATGTGTTCTACCTTTGCTGGATTCCCTGTGATATTGCCAACAGAGCTCTGATTTTTGGTAGAAGTTAGGATTCTGGCTGCCAAAATGGGGTGTTTGGAGGTGGAAAACAAACAAAATCCTAAACAGAACCAAACCAAACCAACAAATAAAAAAAACCCAACAACCAAACAAAAGCACCCAAACAAAAAAACCTGACCCTGAAACCTCTTCAGGGCTCCCCCTTCCTCCCACACAAGCCAAATTTCAATTGCAGCAGCACAATCCTATCTCACCTTGATCGAGTATCAGTGTGAAGATATCATCTGATGAGCTATTTCCAAAATTGGTTTCAGTTTGAACTGTTGTACAACACATTCAGTAACCACAAAATAAAAACTCAAAACTTGTGCACTGCAAGGGTTCAGATGACTCTATAATAGATAATAGCTCACAGTTTATTAATGTCTTACTCTCTCAGTTTTAGCTTAGCTCAAGCACATTCTGTCTACAGATATATATAGTCAAATTATTTGGGGGAAAAACCACAATGTGAATAAATACCAACATGACAGTGTCAGCACTGGGAGATGGGAATGATACATCATTGTTACTTCAGAGCAGAAAAATACACCTCCCAATGACTTCATATTATTCTCACTCTCAACACTCATGATGAAAAGGACAAAAGCTTTATTGTTAACTGTCTTAGCCCATGTTGCTGATGTTAATACTGAAGTAGGTAAAAAAAGCCCAACAAACCAACACAGAAAAACACAACAAAATTCTGACTTTAAATGTGAAAACATATTATATCAGGAAGTAACAGTTCCTGGTGTCCCTCCTAGAAAGCTCCACTTTAAACCCATTTTTACTGGATGCAGTTGTTAATTATGGGGCCAGTTTAAACCAGATTGCAAAAGCAGCACACCATGACAGGTACTGGAAATGATGGCTGAAGCCTCTGCCATGTGGTATGCCAGTCACAAAGCAGTGGTCTGTATCATATATTGTGACTATTACTTAGAAAGTCATACCTCTCATGCTGAAACCAACAAGGTCTCATTGAGGCCCAGCAAAAGTACATAATTCTGTGAAGAATTCTCTCTGAAAAGTCCTTGAGTATGGCTAAGTAATGATCTTGTTTACCTCATTTAGCCCCAAGTTCTCCAAGTAAGAGCTGGCCATGAAGAGTTCTTATGCTGTCTGATATTCAGCTGGGACAATGTGTCCTGTCTTTGTTTTCAGCCATCAGGCTTGTGTCAAACACACCCTGACAGCTGCAGAATTTTTTGGTGAAAACAATAATTCCACTTTTCCTTTCCATCTGCCTGCAGATGGTTTAAATCTGACCCATCAAAAGGCTAAGGAAAAGAAAAAAAAAAGGAAAAATAATATTCCAGTTGAGATTAAATTATAATGATTGCTCATTTCATATAGAGAAAATACCAGGTTTGAAATTTGCAGAACAGTCCCTGCAATGATGAATTAAACTGTGCATGGGAGAACTAGAGGTTTTACCATTTGATTTAAGGGTAGGTGTAGATTAGGTATCAGGAAAGAATTCTTGTTATGAGGGTGCTGAGGCGGTGGCACAGGTTGCCCAGAGAAGCTGTGGCTGCCCCATTCCTGGCAGTGCTCAAGGCCAGGTTGGACGGGGCTTGGAGCAACCTGCTCTAGTGGAAGGTGTCCCTGCCCGTGGCAGGGGGTTGGAACTGGATGAACTTTAAGGTCCCTTCCAACCCAAACTATTCTATGATTCTATTATGCGGGTTCTATATAATTCCTTTCAGACCTCTTCAAATTAGCAAACAGACACATGAAAAATAACCAGCAATATCTGTTATGGCTGACAACTACTTTTTATCCTTTACTAAGGAAAATCTTTGTTAAGAATCACTGGAAAAGTCCAAAATTTTAGAAGGGAATAACTTCTGAAGGCATACATTTGAAGCTTGAGGATCCTACTTTGTTTCAATGCTCCTCTTAGCTTCTGTTTCAAATCCAAGTAACAAAATTGATGTCATTCTCTGTTTGTTGCCAACCCCCTGCATTGCAAACATTGCTTTGCAATTGCACATTGTGAATCAGTTTACTTATGAAGAACATCAAGCTATTACACTAGCCAACCTGTTTCAGTGCTTTCTGTCCACATGTTTGATGAAACCAGTGCATACTGCAAAGTATCAAAAATACAAAGCAACTAAAAGAAATTACTATCTGC